GGCCCACAAGTCTGGCGAGCAGTACCAGGCGCTCTCGGTCGAGGACAGGCGCATCACTGACGCCAATGTGGTCGCCGATGTGTTTGCCAAAAAAACTGAGCTCTTGCACCCGTCCGCTTCTCCTGAGTTCCTTGAGAGAGTTGATGAAGCCAGCACCAACGCCAATTACTTTGTTAAGTTGTGTGTCCACGTTTTCCCGTGTTTCGAGCAAGAGGAGAGGTTTTCCAGGCTCCCCGTTTTCGCTCGTTCGAGGCACACTATGATAGAAAACTGGCACGACTGGTGTAGGACCTCCATCGGCACCCAGTGTAGGAATTGTCTCAGCGTATTGGAGCCAGGCCGAGACAGGCCCATGCTGGGCTGCAGAGGTTTGCCCAAGTTTTTGAGAGACTTCAGGCAAAATTCCCTGGGCCACCAGTTGGTTGCTGTTTCCCAGGCGAGCGTGACCAGCTGGAGCTGTGCGGGGCCAGCCTGCACAGCTCCAGTTGTTGTTTGTTATCTGTGCGGGGCCTGGGCTCAGCAACGTCGGAAAGATAAGCTTCGGTCCCCGTGCGTGAAGCCCACGACCAAGGGAGACGAAGTGCTGCGAAATCTCAGAAGGGGAATTGGTCCGCATAAGAGGCTGGCCAAACGCATTGATTCTGTTGCGCCCCATTCAGAGAGTCGCCCCTGACAGAGCCCAGCCCTCTTCGAGTTCCACAAGTGTTACTCGATCGAATCCCGATTCTGTGTTGTCCTACGAGGCTCGTATGGCAGCATTGCATGCCCGAATCAAGGCAAAGGAGGAGGCTGCCCGAGGCGCAGCCCCTTCCTGATAGAGCAGCGGCCACTCGCTGTTCGTCCAGTTCCAGGCGGGCGCGTGCGTGCCCGTGCTGTCAAGCAGTCGTGTGACATGGTACTATTGCAGACATTTAGTCATTTAGTCCTCCTCCTCCTTCTCCTCCTCCCCTCCTCCTTCTCCTCCTCCCACTGCTCCTACTCCTATTCACGATTGTACTTTATCTCTGGCCCCACATCCGGCCCTTCCACCCCGCCCGTCAAAAAAATAATGTAAACTCTGTGTTTCTTTCGTCTCAACGTGGAAATTGTCTCGTCCATGTTGAAAAATACTTGACAGGAACGGGATGGGGCGCACATCCCGCACGAGAGGCCGAAATGTCGCCCTCGCCTCGGCGCGTTGCTCATCCATCCTCAGTTCGGCGTGCCTGAGGGGGTCCTTACTTGGTGAAAGGTTGGTGCCTCCTTGTTAGTAGTTTGCCCGTTGCTCGGAGGTTCCTCCGGTTCCTCGGGTCCCCCGGGTTCCTCGGGTTCCCTGGGTTCCCCAGGTTCTTCGTGTTCCCCGGGTTCCCCGTCCTCGGTGCCTCATGTTCTTGCCGTGCCCGTTCCAAGCAATGCCGAGCAATGTTCCCCGGGTTCTTCGTGTTCCCCGGGTTCCCCGCTCCCGGTGCCTCATGCCCTTGCCGTGCCCGTTCCAAGCATTGCCGAGCATTGCCAGGCAATGCCAGGCAATGCCAAGCAGTGCCAGAGCACCTGCGCCCGTGCAGTGGGAAGAACTTTCCCGTCATCGGGGTCGCGCCGGGCTCCTTTCACAGAGGTCCTGCTCGCGCACGGCGTACATCTTCTTCGACGACGCGCGCGCGGACGAAGATGTCGTTCTCGCTTCGATGCCGCGCAGATCTGGGTCAAAACTGGCGTTCCCGCTCCGGCGCGGCTTATTTTTTCCGCTCGCCATTTTTTTTGGGGGGGGGGACCGCGCGAGTGGGCGACGCGTTCCCCTCGCCGAAGTTCAGTGCACAGTTGGGCCGAATGTGGCCTTTCAACGCGGGCGCGGCCCATGGTTCGATCGCCGAAGCGTCCGGAAACGACAGCGGCAGCGGGGCCGCGCGAGAGTGGGGGCAGGCGAAATGCCGACCTCGCCCAAACTCCGCGCAGCTTTCGAGTAAAGTTGGCAATTTTGCGTCAGCGCGGCGCATGCTTCGCCTTCGCCGCGCCCATCGGAAGTTGTGCTGCTCCTGCGCCTGCGTGGCCCGCGTAATTCTCTCCTGGCCAAGTCGTGGGAAGCGGGACCGCGCGCGAGCGCATTCCTTTTGCGAGGTGAGATCGTTTTTCAATACGAATACCACGTCGTACCACCATTTATTCTGATGTTGTGGGTGGGAGGGTAGGAATAGGAGGGGCCCTCTGACCGGTGGCCACATGCGAACCCTAACCACCCCACCACAAGATGTCTAAGGGGGTAGGTGGGGTTCACTTCGCTGGGGAGGTCCCGTTAGAGGTGAACCCCAACTCCCCCCGTAGAAATTGTTGAGTGGTGGGGGAGGGTTCGCATGTGGCCTCCTTAACTTGAATCCTACTCCTATCCCATACCGTTTAAGTTTGGTTGATTTGTGCCCACAGCGGGCGAGCCTGTCATCATCGTCAGCATCATCATCCCCTTCCGTTCGCACCATCACCATCACCACCATTACCATCATCGCCATCATCATCATCATCATCATCATCATCATCAGCATCAGCATCAGCATCAGCATCAGCAGCATCATCATCATCAGCATCATCATCATTGTCTCCGTCTTCATGATCGTCTTCACTAGCCACCCACTGTTGAAAATTGTTGACGCTTCGCGAATCCCCACCAGCCCATCCAGAAACGATGCCCAGTCCTCGATCAGGGAAGTGGGCAGCACACAGAGGAAGCCAGTATGAGACATCTGGGGATATCTGGAGCAATCTTGGAGGTAATTTTGGTCTCTCCCAGGCGCTCTTGGAGTCATCTGAATCAGTGCCCCCCCAAGAGGCCAACGTGTGGCTAAAACCCTCGTAATATCAATGATTTGGCATTCTCGCCGAGGCCTCTTCGAGCATCTTGGGTGCCTCTGGGGGGTCTCTTGGGGCCTCTTGGGGGTCCCTTGAGGGCATCCTGGGGGCCTCTTGGGGGCCTCTTGGGGCCATCTTGGGGCCATTTTGGGACCTCTTGGGGCCTCCTGGGCGCTTCTCGGGGCCATCTTGGAGGAGATCGATCAAACAAGAGGGCATTAATTCGCGTTCCCCCCCAGGAGGCCACCAACATGGGGCAAAAACCCTAGTAACACCATTGATTTTGGCTTCCTCGCCGAGGCCGTTTTGGACGCTCCGACGACTCGCGAAACCCCCTGTCCAGGTCCACGGGGAGGGGGCAGGGGGAGGGGTCAAGACGCCCTCCCCGCCCGCAAGCAGTCTCGCTCACTCCCACCCGCCCTCCCAACACATCCGTCGAATCCGAGCCTGGCCCGAGCCGCAGCATATGCAGCAGTCGTTTTTTGATGGCCAGCTACTGGGGGGCCACCGCCGCCGCCCTGGCCGCCGCCGCCGCCGCCCGCCGCCGCCGCCGCCGCCGCCGCCGCTGTCCGCCGCTGCCGCCGCCACCGCGCTGCCCGCCGCCGCCGCGCAGTGTGCGTGTTGTATTATTTGTTACAAGGGAATGGTGGGGGGGGGCCTGCATGGACCTGGGTTGGCTTCCAGTCGCCTGGGGGAGGGGGTGTATATTAATAGGGAAAGCGGTGCACCCCTCCCCGAAAGGGAAGGAGGAGGGGTGGAAGAGGACATTTCCTGCACCACCGACGCCCAGAGGGCTGGTAGGACTAAACGCCGTCCACCCGCATAACTGCTGCAAGTCGTTAAGACGAATGCGCGCGACGCCCACGCGAGAGCTCCATTTTGAAATTGCCCCCACCACCTTCAGAAGTGTTGTAAACATGGAAGACGAATGTATGCAGCGCTGTAGCGAGAGCCACATTTTGACACTCCCCCCCTCCATCCGTGTAGTTCCTTCGGATTTCCAAGCATCCGGACATACAGTGGTCAGAAATATCCGGTGAAACGCTTGGTCCGCCCTACCGATACGTCTGGGGGGCGACAGAGGGGAATTATTTTCAGGAAGAGGGTTCGAGGATGGGAGGACACAGAACGCAGGAGAGGACCTGGAATTGCCAGGACACGACCCAGCCTTCGCAGGAGGAGCGCCACGTTGCGGGGGCGTGAGGCGGGGAACGATCCATATTGCCCAAGACAGCCAACAAGTTTGGCACTACAGGAGGTGGCAGAAATTGGGTCGCGATCGTCAGCTACGAGATGGAAGGGGAGGAGGAGGAGGAGGAGGAGGAGGAGGAGGAGGAGGAGGAGGAGGAGGAGGAGGAGAGGGAGGAGGAGGAGGAGGATTAGGAGGAGAGGCGGAGATGAGGAGGAGGAGGAGGGGCGGAGGAGGAGGAGGAGGGGGAGAGGGGAAGAGAAGAGGGAGGAGGAGGAGGAGGAGAGGAGGAGGAGGAGGAGGATGGAGGAGGAGGAGGAGGAGGAGGAGGAGGAGGAGGAGGGGAGGAGGAGGAGGAGGAGGAGGAGGAGGAGGAGGAGGAGGAGGAGGAGGAGGAGGAGGAGGTCCGTAACCATTTTGGCTCAAGACTAAACGCTGTGAAGGGTCGAGGACCCGAGAACCAGCGATTAGTTTTGTGACCCTTCCGTGGCCTGTCTGGCTCAGACAGGTTTGGGGCTCAGTGCCCACGGCGCCCAATCTCCTCTCTGTCTAGAAGCCATGCGTGCGACCTCCGCCGCTGAGGCCCGTGGCTACGTTCAAAGCCGCAGCCGCAGCACCGAGGCCCGTCGTGGAGCAGCAGCAGCAGCAATTCTGGCAGCCCTCGACGCAGTCGACCAGCAGAGGCTTGCAGATGACATCGAGGCGTTGCCCACGTTCCCAAGTTCGCCACCGAGGGCTGACACAGGAGGCCTGGCCTCACAGAACGCTACGCCTGATCATGGTGCTGCTGATGGCGATGATGCTGTCCAGGCCGCCCGCGAAGACTCATTCAGTGCAGTTCGTGAATACATCGGCCATACCAAGCAGGAGTTATTGGAAGCCGTCAGCAAGGTCCAGCTCAGCGTTGCAGGGCTGTCCACCTCCGTCTCCAAGAGCTGCGATAACCCCGGCAAACAAGTTGAACGCCGTATTGCTGGATTCGAACACCGTCAAGGACGTGCCGAGGCTCGTATCGCACAGCTCGAGACAGCCATCCAGGAGATGCGGCAACACCTGGGCATGTTGCAGCGTGAGAAGCCGACAACAGTACCAGTGGAAGATACCTCATTCAACCGCGCGCCAGACACTTCGCTCATCATCGCTCGCTCGAAGGTCCCAGTCACTAAGCAGGCTCTTCTGGCAGCAATTCAGCCGTGGCTCGAGCGGGCGCAGCTGGGCACCAGCATCTATGAGGTGGAATGCGAGCCCATCGATAAGAAGTTCTACATCCGTGTCAAGGGCAATGGAGCTCACGCAGCTCGCCGAGTGGGCCAAGCCATGGGAGCGCTTCGCCTGCGAGACGGAGGCTGGCAGAAGTTCACCGCCCAGTCTGCCCAGGGCACGGAGACTGAAGTTTTCGTATCCGCGGACAAGAGCCCAGCCATGGTCCGAACGGAGATCGCGCTCAAGCAGATTCGCGTTCGCCTGGCTGGCCTGTTTCCCCAAGTCAGATTTTTCACCGACAAGGCGCTGGGATCTATTTCGTCGCAGCGGAAGCAGCTCATTCGCGTTAGCGCGCAGAGCGCCAGCGCACCAGCCACCATCGAGCACTGCTCCGCCAACCTTGCCAACCTCAACCTCAACGAGCAGGCCATCCGTGACGCCCTCGTCGGCGTCGGCGCCCAGCAGGATGAGAACGCCCAGTGGTGCCCCTAGCACCTTTTACTCAACGTGGCAAGTCAATGCATCATCCGTCTCACCCTTGTCCTTGTCCACGTGGAACGCCGGAGCACTCTTCCATCGCGCGGCGGCGACCAGGTCGAAGAAGCTTTCCTATTTAAAGTCGCTGCTTACGCGTGGGGCGCTTGCGGCAGTGCAGGAGACGCACGGTTCTTAGTTTGCTGTTCGTGACTTTCTCTATCACCTTCACCGTCCTGTCCAGGCTGTTTCCTCCTTCTTTCTCGGCGACGTGAATGATCGCACGGGGGGCGTGGCGACCTTCGTCCCCGACTTCTCCAAGACTCACCCCAGGGATCCTCCTGCTGTTGAGCCTCTCCAAATTGTTCCAGGACGAGTTCTTAGAGTTACTATTGCGTTCTCCAATGGGGTATGGATTGCTCACTATAATAATCACCACCATGATATATCCCAGATATATCGTCAACAACTAGAAGACCAGATACAGCTAGACCTCCTGAGGGCCCAGCAGAACCCGATGTCGTCGCTCGTCGTGCTCGCGGGGGATTTCAACGTCGCTTCTCGCCCTCCTCGCTCGCTTGGGGCATCTCCAGAACTGCATGGGCAGTTCTGAGCAGATAGGCAGCAGAGGCGAGATCAGTTTTGGATCCGATTGTCTTCAAGGCTCACGGAGGTGGGGGTGGAGGGGGAAACGCACTTCAACAAGCAGCTGAACTCGCTGAGCTGCATCGACCGAGTACTTGCGTCATCGCCAGGCTGGTCTCCTACCCAGTTGAATGCGTCAGCAGAGCTCCACGGCATGCCAGAGATTGAGCGAAAAGCGAGTTTCCGACCACGTGGGGGTCTCGGCGGCGATTTCTCCGAGGCAGAAAACTGACCCTGACTCCAGGCCGATCCCTAGGGACCTTTTCGAGTTGCCAGAGTACCATGACTATCTTCGGAAAGCCGTGGAAGTCGCTGATGTATCTGGGCTGTCGCCGCCGCTGTTGATTGAGTTTCACAAGAAGCTCGTGAGGTCTGCTGCGCAACACGCTCGGGGCACTCTAATTGCTCATCATCCTCATTCCCCTCTAGCTGGTCTCATCATCCTAAAGACTATATCACGTGCTCTATGGCATCATGATGTTAGGCTCGCTACCCGTCTTCAGAGAACCCACTGGATAGGACGCAAATCTCTTCAGGTGGATGTGCAACAAGCCTCAGTCTCATTGCTCGAGCCGGCGGAGTTTTTCGAGACCACCAATGCTGCTCAGCAAGCTGCCGCTCACCGCGCAGCCGCGGAGGTCCGCCGGGATATGCAGCCAGACACGCCAGACAAAATACTTGCTAAACATCGTCGACGCCTTCGTGGTATCGCTCGCCGCGCAAAGCTCTGGAGCCCGTTCGACAGGAAACTGACTCTCCAGGGGATCAAGGTTAACAGCTCCAGGATCACGGACCCCGCTCAAAAACTTCTGGCTCTCGGACAAGGGCGGGGGCAGGTTTTCGCTGAGTAAGCATTGACGTGGACGCTGCGCGAGTTTATCTAGATCGTTTCGCTCCGCAGGCCGCGCTTCGCGACATGCAGCCGCCATCGAAAGCTACGTTTGATCGGGCCCTCCGGCGCGCCAAGACGAGCGAGCCCGGGCCCGACGGCATTCCGTGCATCGCATGGGCCAAACACCCGTGCGGCAGCGAGCTTCTCACACAGGCGACGCGGTGGTGCCTAGACGGCAATATGATGCTTCCGAATATCAACATAGTCCGAGGTGGATTTCTCTCGAACGGATCCGAGGACGGCGATGACATAGCGATCGACCGAGAGGTAAACCAAACGAGACCCCTGGGCTTGAAAAGCTGCGACTGCAAGCTGATGACAGCGGCTTGCACTTGGGAACTATCGCGCGCTCTCCCCAGATTTATCGATCACTCGCAGCGTGGGTTCGTATGCTCTCAGAATCTGGGCGCGAAAATCCTTGGCTGGACGTCCAATCTCGTATAGCATCGATGCCTGAGCGGGCCCATATCTCCCCCCCTGTCCTCCTCTCCTTCGATTTTGGCCAAGCTTTCCCCTCGCTGGCCCATCAGTGGATGGTCCTGGTCCTCTCTCGCCTTGACTTGCCTCCCCCGCTTCTCTTCTTCCTCGAACTTATTTACACCAATGTTGAATGTGTTGGCCAAGCAGGCCCCGTCTCTATGCACTTGTTCTTTATCCAATCTGGGATTGTCCAGGGGCGCCCCGCCTCTGGTGCCCCCTATGCTATCGCCCCCCACCCTTTCCTCGCTTTTCTCTCGCACGCCCTCGAGGACTCTCGCAGAGGTGTTGCACGCGCGTGCGCAGACGATCTCGGTAGTGTAGTTT